GTTTTCCGTTAATATCTCCTCAACGAGGCCTCGGACAACAATTTCGCAAAGGAAAAAGTTGTTTCAAATCACCTCCTGAACCACCATTTTCAAGGACCTCAAACATTTTTGTGACACCCTGTATACGCATATATCAAAACCGTAACAGGTTATGGGCCCAGGTGGCTTGCTAGTTAAGTGATTGTGCTGAAAAACGTTTGGAAATTGTTTAAATTAAATCTGCACGAATAGTAGTCGTTGAAGTAACTTTTTTTTTTTTTTAGGAATCTCCGACTATAAAGCATTTGATACGAAACTAGGCATAACAATGGTTGACAATGTGAAAGTATTCCAAACCCATCGATTCAATGGTGAAAATTGGTGTCGTCAAATGGAGATTTTTATGGCTGAAAATAAGCTTAACCCGTATATCCTTGGTACCGAAGTAAGAACAGATGAAAATGCCGCCACATGGGACGCGAAAGATGCAGAGGCTCAAGCATTTATAGGACTGTAAAACTGCGGCTAAGATGTGGTCACGTTTGAAAATCGTAACAATTTATTTACACGGGGATTATTTCTAACGCGTGTTTTCATCTTTCGAGAATGAAACTAATGATGTAAGAGAGACGCTCGATTCGTCCATATCAACGTAAAATATTATGCCGAAATACAGAAATACGAAGGTATCTTTCGCGTTCTGTGAGGTCGCGAAACGACGCGCAACGTTGAGAACAACGTCGTTCAGTTTTGAGAAAAAGATGTTCGGTGGAGCATATCCGAGACATTAGTTACGAGTATTTAGCGGTAAGAGGCATTCCGGAAAGAAAAGGAAGAGGAGAACGAGGGGAGAAAGAGAGAGGTAAGGATGGATCTCATGGCAAAACGAGGCATTCGCCACTACCGACTATGGTGCATTCCTCTTCTGTAGCCGTCTTGCATGTGAAGTAACACATCCAAGTTCTGTGTGTGTATGTCGCGGGTGGCGAGAGACGAGCATAAGGTAAACATAAAAACGCCCAAGTGGAACGGTAAGTAAATCCAGTGAACAGCGAGAAGGGAAAGGAAAGGCTTCCCTCTTGGGAAACAACATCGAGCCGGTGCCGGTGGTAAGAACGTTTCAACGTATCTTTCAACCTACGAGGAGGAGAGCCTTTGCATCGTCGCGTCGTTAGAAAGTGAACCGAGATACAGTTTCGTTACTCGCGTCTTTCGTATTCTCTTCGATTCGAAAATCCACCGGCAACGTTTACGAGATGAAAGAAAAATTTCACGCTTCCGGTCGACATACACGGTCTGTCTAAAAAGAAATCGAACTTTTGCTATTAAAAGAAAAAAGTACAAGTAACGTTTTTACACACAAGTTTATTTACTCAAAATAATCTCCCTGTGCGTCAATACAGCTTGTAGACTGCGTAGTTAACGTTTCGAAGGACCTTTGGAGCTCCTGTTTTGGTAGACCGTTTAGTACGGCGGTTACAGCGGTCTGAATCTCCGAAATGTTGCTATAACGTGTCCCTTTCATTTGAATTGGCATTGTTACCTTGGATCATTCACCCTACTCGCCTGATCTGTCTCCCTGCGATTACTTCCTTTTCCCAAAATTGAAAATTCCAATGAAAGGGACACATTATAGCAACATTTCGGAGATTCGGGCCGCTGTAACCGCCGTACTAAACGGGCTACCGAAACAGGAGCTGCAAAGGTCCAAAGGTCCTTCCGAAATGTTAATTTACGCGGTCTACGCGCTGTATTGACCCAGAGGGATATTATTTTGAGTAAATAAACGCGTATGTAAAAACTTTACTTGTAGTTTTTTCTTTTAATAGCAAAAGTTGTAGATATCACATTTTCTCCTTCCTCTTTTTAACGGAGGCGTAGAGAGCGATCTATGTTAACATTTTCGATAAATTTCGGAATACGAGGAAATGATTTTCAACTCGAATGGATTTAATATCTGCGAAAGAAAGACGTGCACCGTGATAACGGAACGGACATTACTCGTTAAGCTGTCAGATTATCGCGGTTAATATACCGCTAACTATGTGGACCGGTAGTAAGAGTAAAATAAGTACGATATCAACGATAACGCGCCTCCAGGAAAGTACAATCTTCTACTAACACTTGACACTAGCGTGGCTTATCCACGGCCTATCAGACACCAACGATCAAATTGAGGTTTCCGTTAATAGTCCGGCTTGTTTCGTTCTTTTCTTTAATCCGATCCCTTTTGTACGTGCATTATTACGCTCAGTTTTCTCATTGACATCGTCCGTGAGACGCAAACACGTGCTTCGTTCGAAGCCGTCGACACGCGCTGCTGGCTACTGGTGTGCTAGTCGACAGGCCCGTGCACGAAAAGAAAGGACGATAACCGGAAAACGAAGAGAAAAACATTCACGAAACGTTCTCGTCTAATGAAACATCGAAACGAAACGAAACGAAACGAAACCAAACGAATCGAATCGAATCGTATTTTTCCTGCAGCGGTCGCCGGCGATAAAACCGTCCGACAACTAAACAGAATAATAAAACTGACCACTCACCGTTCCTGGATACATCCAGCTCCACGAGATTTTCGAAATTCTGGATATCCGGTGGCAAACGGTGAATTTCATTGTCACTCAGCCCAAGCTTTCGTAACCTTTGCAGTCGGAAAAAATTCTAAAAACAAAAACGTAAATAGTTGGTACGAGTTGAAGTGTTCGTTAAAGAAACAATGACAGTCGGGATACCCCATTCGGTATGTCGTGCACGTATTTCGTCGTCACATTATAGTCGATGGAATGATACGTCATGGACATAATAGAAAGAGCAAAGGAGGGAGAGAGATACAAATGAGCGAGAGAGGGGAAGGTTGAAGCAAAAGAAAGAAAAACGAGATACAGTTGTAAAACACAATGTTGGCATGTAGCGGTATTTGCATACCTTTGGTAGATCACGGATATGATTCGCGTCCAACAGAAGCTCTTCCAAGCTTCTCGAGTATCGTAAAATATCATCGGGGACGCTCGGCAGAGAGCAGTGACGCTTGTCAACGTATTCCACCTGCCTGTTACACCCTTTAAAAATCGGAATGCAGCGGAACATGGTATCCTTTTCACTATCAATCACGTTAAAACAGCACCGAACATAATTCTCCCGTAACCTTACGGAGGCACACGTCGCTATTTGCACATATTCATAGGTAAGATTGGTTAAAAGAACACGGAGGAAAACGAGCGGCACGACACACACTTTCACGCCCTACTCGGCTTTAAACGCGCTCACGGCTTGTGCCTCCAAGTCTGACGTCATCACGTCTACGACGAACCACTGATCACGTTGCTCTAAAGCGACAAACAACAGTGAACGAATACGACGCTTTGAAAAGACGGTTCCCCCACTCCGTCTACTCAAACATGGAGTCACGATTCATACAGAAGGGAAATATCAAACCAAATACTTTCTACGGTTACAGTTGATGCTCGTGAAAAGATCTATTCGATATTCTTTTTCTTTGCGATTAACTTCTATCAAAGATCTACTAAATATTTCTTTGAAACCCACGTCTATACTAAATACAGGGTGTCCCAAAAATGTTGTAACACCTTGAAAGAGGTGGTTCGGGAGGTGATTTGAAACAACTTTTTCCTTAGCAAAAATGTTGTCCGGGGCTTCGTTGAGGAGATATTAACGGAAAACACTGACCAATCAGAGCGCGAGTATGCCGGTTGAGCGTAGGCTACGCGATAGGCGGCCACGCTCATACGCTACCGCGAGCGCTCCATCGGCATACTCGCGCACTGATTGATCAGTGTTTTCCATTAATGTCTCCTCAACGAAGCCTCGGACAACATTTTCGCTAAGGAAAAAGTTGTTTCCAATCACCTCCCGAACCACCCCTTTCAAGGTGTTACAACATTTTTGGGACACCTTGTATACGAGTAACTTGAAATGTAAAACCATCGTAATCCAATTGTGTTCAAGCCAATCAGCGTTTACATCGAACCGCGTTCTACCAATCAAATATCGAAACGCGCTTATACTTTTATGTAATATAAGCAAATGTTTTTCTTTTTTTTTAAGCGATTCACATTACCGTAATACTTTCCTACTAAACTGATATGCGTATGTACGTATATAAATAGAGCATTAATTTTAACGTTCTGAAAGAAAGTCGATACCTGCGGCACCAATCAGGACTAAAAGGATCTAATCAGGACCAATCAGGACTCTTGCCACAAAGAAAAAGATGCCTTGATTGGGTAGAAGAGCTGGCAACTTTCCCTTTACGTGGCACTGGCACGTATCAATGTCACCATTGTCACCTGATGTCACCAGGTGTTACCGAACCTACGATTCCTACAAATGCGTTCTGTTTTCGCTGAACGAAGTATATACATATAAATTTCCGATATAAATGTATATGTATATATTTTAATTTGTTATTAACTCAAATATAATTGATACCGATCAATTCAAATGAAAAACAACATATGTAATAATGTTTCTACCTTTTTCATGTTATCTCCATTCGTAAATAACACTGTTACGTCACTTATCATTAACACATTGTAAATAAATATAATATGTAAGTCCTTTTTTTTTATCGACTTTATTTGCTTAAACTATCACACGATAACCGTTCGAGAAAATTTATCTGATATTACATTGTAATAAGATCGCGGTATATTTAAATAAGATATTTATCCACAAATTCTACGTATTTAACGTATTGTGTTCAAGTATTTAAACAAATATGAATATTGCTTTGATATCGGAATACTTGGAAACGTACCAAGGAAGAGACAAGTTTTTAAGAACTTTATCTTACACGGCAAAATTAGCTACATTAGGCGCATCGTCGAAGGAAACTGAAGAAAAATTTAAAATATTTAGTAGTCGGATGAGTGAATGCAGAACGGTTTTAAGATTATTGGATGATATACCAATAATTCATCATGCTATAACTTATGGATGGGGGATGAAGGTATATGAAACTTAAAACGAATAAATAATCTTTATGATAAAGGAAATATGTTTCCATTCTATCCTTTATCAAATGTATACGTCTATTACTATTTTTCTAGAGGCAACTAAATTTCATATGTAATGTAATAGGAGACAGATTGGTTGATCAAATGGGCAGAATTGGTACACATTGCAGTGGACATTATATTTAGTTCGATAGAGCATATTTCTTGGGCTGGTGAACATAAATTAATAAAGATTAATACCGAAAAATGGGATAACACTTCGACATGGTTTTGGATAATTTCCTTACACTTGTCGTTAATGAAGTACGTTGAAAGCAACAAATCAAATGCTTTATGTTTATTTGAAATTTATCTATGAACATTTTTATTATAGGTCACTGAGAAAATTAAAAATGTTCAATAATTATAAAACTCATCTTGGAGAAGCTAATTGTGATACACAGTAAGTATATAAAAATAATGCAAACATACTAAATTGCCTACAGTATATAAATACAAAACAGCTACAAAGCAGTTTGTGATATAAATGATTTTTGTTTCAACAGAATAGCCCTGACAACAGTTAGTAGACAAGGTTGGAATGAATTATTGACTTCTGTACGATTAATATTAGATATTAGTTTTGCAGTTAGTTATTTACCATCCGGTGTACTTTGGGGAGGCCAATTAAAAACTTGGCAAGTTGGAGCACTCGGCACTTTGTCTTCTTTGATTGGTTTATATCAAGCGTTTAGCAAACGGATGGAACAGAAGAAATATTTATAATGATATACAAATTTTGTACAAAGATACTATACTCTATTTAGAGAATAGCTATTAGTATTGTAAATATAGATATTTACATTTTATATTAAACATGTTGCATTAAGATTGTAAAATAAATTATAAAAATTGAAAAAAGAAATACTTTACAAATCAGTTTCCTCGTTCAATGTAAGATACACGTTTGTACATTACACAATGATACAAGTTTGTTAACATAATAAAGAACAATTTATTACTTTTAATATACCAGTTTTGTGTTACAAGTTATACTTTAACAGGGATATATGTAATAGCAGAAAAGCTAAAGCAATATAAATTATTAATATCCAGGTAAAGCTTACTTGATTTCTCGCTAATGAATGTACTTATGTAGATACATACGTGTCTACTAAAGTTCGAATTATTTTTACATACATATACTTTTTGAGTGTTATTTATAAATTATAGACTTAGGTTTTATCATCAATAAAAGTTAAAGAATAGGAGGCACTTTTCGTATGAACATAAAAAAAATACTTTGCTACCTATGACGCGATGTAATCATTGCCTCACAATTGGTTAAATCTCTTAAAAGTTTTAAGAAAGCTTGACATTATGCGTACCAGTAGCAGTCTTGTTTCTTTAATAATAGATCACCCTGTATCGCATGGTTATCAATGATTTAAAAATAATTTGTGTTTTCCACATTGGAATAAAATCTATGGAGATTACATTAAAAGGCACGACTTATTAAAAGTTTGTAAACAAGATATTTCCGATAAAAGAGCATCTTTAAAATTTCCGTCGGCTCATAATCTTTTTCACCGTTGATTCATTAATTTTTAGTTTAGAAATATGTCAATCTTCTATTTAGAATCGTTTACAGGCATAGCAAACCGATTTGTTTCGTTGACTAAAAACTTTGTGGATACATTTGAAGCTTTCGTAGAAGATATATATATGTATATTTATGTGTGTGTGTGTATGTGTGTTTCGTATGTCATATTAAAGCACTTTATATAAGTATTTCCTTATACATATAATAACCGTGTTATTTGTTCATTGCATTTGATGTTACAATGCGATATATTACTTTTTGTATTTGTTTTGTTTTCTTGAATCAAGCTAAAATTGTGACTTAAAAATATGATGAACCTTGCTTTTACTTTTTATACTTTGATAAGTCAGACCAATAGTTGTAGCGTAATCTGCAGTTGATTGTATGTATTTTCAATTATAAATCTTAATTACTTAGAATGACATTTTTTTTTTTTTCGAGAAAAAGTATAGCATCGTTCATAGTTCACCTGAGACACTATATGTATAATTGAATAAAATTTAAAGTCAAACGAAAAGATTAAACACGTGCAATACGATTATAATTAATTAAGGTAACTTGTGCTACCGATTAGTCTTTACTTTATAGTTTGCGTTAGTATCGTGTAATTATCAAATTTTCACGTTGTAATAACATTTAATACTTAATACTTTGCGTAAGCACAGATTTCTAAGGCCTGGAGTTTGGAAAGGGCGGGTTTGTTACAAAAAGAAGGTAATTTTTTCGAATAATATGAAACAAAATCGTAAAATAGTAAAGGAGGAACGACAATGTAAGTCTATCTGCAAAAATATGATTTTTAATTCACTCAACAAAATGATATCAAAACATCCGAAACTCGATTAGAAGTAATATTACGAAATCTTGTTCAAAGAAAATACATAACATAATATCGTAACAAAAAATAAAAACAGAATCAATTTACTACAATCCGCACCAGAATCGTAGACCGTGTACTTCTCCGTTTCGTCAACAGTTAAACAGTCCCTGTAAACGAAAACTCGCAAAAGGCTTACCGTTTTGACCAAGAATATAGGTTATGGTTACAGTGGCCATTTTTGGCATTATTCTTACACTGTACAATCTAACGTAAAACTACAACGATAGGAAATATCACCGACAAGCGTCGAAATGGAAGAACGGCCTAATGGCTGGCTAGTACCTCGTAGAAAGTCATCGTTCCTGTTACACGAAATTAAATAATCTTCTTCGCGCAAAATAATAATAATAGAATTATTAAACCTCCCTGCCGTTAGAAGACTATAGTAATCTAATTTTGTAGAATAATTTACGGTTAAGCGTAATATTTCGCCGATGGATTATTATAGCGGCTCATTATGTTTGATGAATATGTGAACACGATAAACTTAGCCAGTTTCTCTCTTTATAGCAGTCGAGTGGCTTCCCATTTTATCGCATAAAAATTATTGTCACTATAAAAGCCACAATTGAGCTCATTCGAATTGAATGTAAATGCGAACTCGCGTAACCCACGACTGCTGTATTAATGTGCCGTGTTACCTAATCACACAACTCGTAATTATATTTATCGCAATAAAACGATCAACAAGAGAACCAGTCCCTAAGTAAATACACTAAATAAAAGTAATTTGTTGAACGCGGTGGTGACCGGGTTCGAAATAGGAACTCTTCATGGAACACGATTTTCTTATCTTTCAATTAGTCTCTCTGTACCGCGGACGTACGTAGGAATAACGATAATAAACAAATCGTTGCATTTGCCGATCAGCTGGTATATCCGGTATTTATACATATCGTCAACCCAGCTGCTTGCAGCCCTGCGATAAAAACTAAGTTTGCACTCTGTCAGTAAGTCAGTTGGTGCAACGTCTGTGCAAAAACAAATAGTAAAAAAAAAAAAAAAATGAACTTGATCGTGAAAGAGAAGCTCGATAGGTAGTTGTACTTAAATCGTGGGGTTGAACATTCCACGAGATCCGGGATTTACTGGTGGCGATAATCCGACGACGTGATTCGTTTTAGAATTGCGCATCAATGGTTTGTGATACCACATAGATTCCATAGAGTGCTGCCATAGCCAACAGCTGCGACAGAAGTACCGAAAGCACATCTGTGAACAAAGCAACAAAAAAATTCTTCGAGATATAACGCAATTAAAAGAACGAGTCGAGGAAGAAATGCTATTCGTACCACTTCACGACAAAAATACGGTCCTTGTTGCACGGAACATCCGGAACACATAGAATCTTCTAGATACGGGTCTACTTGTACCTGTTGGGAAATAATTAACGACATTATCATTTTTCTTCCTATAAAAATATAGAATGTAGTACTGCGTACCTTTTTCGTAAACTTGGCAGTTTTTATTTCTATAAAAGCAGCTGAAACTGCTTTCATATATGATTGTTTTGTACTGAATGTTACACGACCGGATCCTATCGGGTACTTGTGTTTGTCGGTATCTATGCCTGAAACCAAATTCCATCTTCAACGGTATTCGCCTAGGGATTAACTTTTGTTTGACGTACGTATATGATTTTTACCTGCATAAATAACTCCACGGAATAAATCATCCATTATGTTTGCTAAACCGCTAGCAGTCAGCATGCCATGAAGCGCGCCGACAAATACTGTTTTGTGGGGATCAAGCTTCTGAGACGAAGACTTTACATAATTACTATCTTCGAGGATCCAAGGTATTACTTGTACCTGCGTTACAATTATTATAGACAAGCTAAATTCCAACTGTCACGATAAATAGAATTAATCCGAAACATGGCTCATACCTGTTTTGACTTCATACGTTTAGATGATATCTTATAGTACCAGCTACCGCCATTAGTAAAGTCGTGTGTACAATACGCCAATAAAGTTCTCACCTTAGAAATAAACACGTTTTTTTTTTTTAAATCAAACAATGTTTTAAATAACAAAAGAAACGAGAAAAAAAAATCAATTTTTGCAAATACCTGTCTTTCGGACTCAAATATGATATATACGTATCCTTTTGGTTGCGTAGCAAATTGATCTTTTCCCGGCCATTCTACTCGTATCTGGCCGAATTGCTTGAAAGTTGCGACTAAAAGGGATTCGGTAATATCCCAAGGTACACCACCGAGGAATACCTTGGACGAATATCCTGATGGTTTTTGAGTGCGTTGCGGCAGTATACCGCTCCAAGTACAAGTTGGATCGCAAAGCGCTAAAACAATTATTCTTTAATTATTAACGTACGTTTCATCGATTAAGCATAACCGTTACGTACCAGCAGCACTTCGATGAAATCGCGCCACACGCTCAAGAGAGATTTGCGGATCCAAAATGTTCGTCGTTGGTGAATTCAATGTCACGTGATTCGCAGTGGAACAACAATTTTTCTCGCGCGATAAAACAGAATTCAGAAAACTACCATTTTGATTCGAGCCATAGTGGTGACTGCGATTATGCCTGTGCGTGTGATGATGATGTGACGTCGATGAATTTTGGTACGGCGAAGCTAAATACTTTTTCACCACCATTCGTTGAATCGCAGCTGCCCTATTATTAGTGCATAAATCCACCTCCGGCGACATCAGCGAACCCAGCTGTTGAGGGTAACATCCGTACGACGAGGAGTTCAACGATAAACAATTCTAAAAGATACGAGTATTCATTTATTACGCGTTTTAACGTTTCCTAAATTGGGAAAGGGTTATACGAAACGGTATACAAATGTGTACCATTATATCGGACAGCGAACCATCCATGCTACTAATGCCGCTCGTCTCCGAATCTGCCGGTGAATTTGATCTCGAACCGTTACATCCCACCGTGTGAGAATATTCAAACGTGGGACTACTGCAATCGCTATATTTAAACAGAAGAAATACCATTTGAACGCTCATTTGTATCATAAAAAAGAAAGAAAAAAAATGATGACAAATTACAATGGATCCATCGTACCTGTAAGGCGGTGACCCACGGATAGGTCTCCCATAATAGGGCGAATGAATAGGTGACGTCGGAGAACCCGCGTACGGGATAGATCCTCGACTCGTTGGCGAGGATGCTGTCTGATAATTACTGCTCGTAGACGAGTACGAGTACGGACTAGAGTACAAACTACTGGGGCTGCCGGGCGTGGTAACAGAGCTCGGCGAGCTCGGAATGTCCAACATCGACGTATTCGAGCGCATCCCGTTTCTATCATCGTACTGTACAACACACAAAGTATGAAATAAGTGATTCTTTTTTCGCAGTTTCTAACGTTTATACTATTCTAGACTTATACTAGTCGAGGCTTCCGGGTGTAAAGCCGTATGACACGATACTTGACGAGTTACACCTAGAACCCTTAATCGGTATTATCAAATAATTTTCGTCGACAGACAACGCAAGTAACATATAATGCGGTAAGTTCCATTTACTCAACGATAAGAAAGAAAAAGACTCCTCTTTGCGTTTCTTTCTCTAAACTCGCAACACTGTCGTTGGCACGTGTCCAAGATTACGTTAGAAAATAAAGGGTAGGAACAAACACGGCGCACGATTACAAGTTCACGGGAAAGCTGAAGCCAAGAAGAGACTAGAAAGGAAGAAAGAGGACCGTGATGGAGCCGTTTGGCTCAGGCTTGTAAATTCTTGGCTATCCGGGAATCGGGGTCGCGCTAACGCGCGGCTATGCGTAATTTACTTCGCTGAACGCATTATATGCATATACGTCGGGTCCAACGCGCGCAATTCGATGGTCCTTGGCGGTCCTTTATGTACAGAAATGGATCCAGCGAATGGCGAGGGTAATAAAGTTAAAGGCGTCGAGAACAGCCTGATAAAATGTCCATTAAAGCGTCTGGTCGATAAGGCACGAGACGCGGGCTGCGAGGCACGATTTTCGTACGGCTTTCCCTTATTGTTTGTTCTACTTTTACTACAAAATCAACACGGGATTTTAAAACGGATCTCCTTTTGGAGAGAGGAAAAAACAAATAAAAAAAATTCGGCCTGGCGTTTCGTAGAACGTAGAACACGAGTCGCGTTTAGGAACAAGGAATAAGTAAGATGCAATCTGTATCAACATACGTACATGCACGCGCGCACGTATAATCTTACATCCGTCCTTTCGATTTTCCACGGTCAGTTTAGCTTTAGCCCCTGCCGGTTACAACATAAACATCTCGCGTTATCAATATTTGTGCTATCGCAAATTGACGTTGGAAACGTAACGAATACATCGAAAATCGATACATCAGGTAGCTGGAAGGTCTATTGTGAAAAGAAATTAGCCACGATGGATAGAAAAGAAAGTTCGAGGAGTAGTTGGACCCCCTCCAATAAGGATAATCATTGTTCCGGTTATTGCATTGGCAGCAAGCAGACGTTTCATAATACTGCCTACTTCGACGTTTTTGGGATTTTTACCGCCGTACTACTACTGTATAACTGTAAATTAATTAAAAACCAGCTTCACGATCTTCACGTTCGTTGCGAGACCGTCGAAAGGATCCTGTACTTTATCATATATAAATAGAATAAATAGAAAAATATAAATATAGAATGTACAGAATATAAATATATATATATATATATATATATATATATATATATATATATATATATATTTATATTCTATACATTCTATATTCTATATATATTCTACTTATATTTTTCTATATGTACATATAAATAGAATAAAAGAAAAGACGTTACCTGATAATGCTGAAAGGATCCCTGATTGCTCTTCTGATACTGATAATTACGATAACCAGTAGATCCAGCAGTTGATTGACTAGCCATTAACGAGCCTCGTGGTAAGCCCAATCCGAATAAATCAGAGATGGACATGTCTCCTGGGGTCAAGGAGAAAAAAAAAATAGTTGCTATTTAAAAAATCACAAAAATACGACCACAGCCGCGACAACTATCAACTATCAAACTATCAACTGACAAACGACAAACGGACGCGCTCGTTGATTTTAAAATAACGAAGGAGACGATTGGAACAAATTAGAAATCATTCGTCGGGTGTCGTTTGAAAACTAACGTTAAATTAACGACGGGGGCTTCGAACTAAATACAACGGAAATGAACGTTTCTACTATTCGTAAAATGATGAAAAAAGAATATTTTACCATCGCTATTGTTCCTTTTATTCGGTTGTGTGCAGGATGCGTCGTGCGAGTATCCTTGGAAGCTCGGCGGTGACGGCAAGTCTAGTAACAAGTTGCTGATCGATTGCAACTGATGCAGTTCCTCCCGTTCACGATCACAATCGCGTTGCTGCTGCAGTTTGTCACGATTTACTTGTTCCCTGTCACGTTGCTGATACTGCAACTGGTCCCTCTCCCGTTGCTGCAGCTGTTGAGTGGACACGTGGTCCCGCTGCAATTGCTCGCGTTGCATCAGTTGCAGCTGTTCGCGTTGCTGCAACTGTAATTGATCCTGGTCGCGCTGAGCTTGCAGCTGCAAGCTGTGCGACACTTCATTTCGGTCAGGCAAGTCCGTTACTTTCACTCCGTCAATATCGTACGTTAAATCTAGCTGCAAATCAAACAATCAGACAATAGTATTTTTTTTTTTTTAATATTCGATTAGTTGCGCGAGTGTGCGAAACGAAACTAAAGACGTATACATGTCATAGAAATTCGATTAGATCCGAAAGCGTCAATCACGATTCTACATTGTTATCGGATAATATTCCGTTACATTTATTTCCCAACGTTTTCCAAATTTGTAAATTATCAAAGATCGTATGACGATTATTCGAACGGGCCGCACCGTTTATCACGTCACATTAAACGTATTTATCGCGTAATTTCCGACCGGTGGACAAAAAAGAGAATTAAAATAGTATTTATTTGATCGCGATGCTATTCCGTACTAAATAACGCTAAAACGCGATATATCGATTCGTTAATTGATCGGTAAATAACGAAAATTGTGAAAATTTAATGCGCGTCACCTACCATCGGATTTCTCGAACTCATCACTGCGAGCGATACCAGCGAACTATGCCGCGAGCTTTCGGTACAGAATAACGAAAACAGGCGCTGAAGGACGCCACTCCCAGTTCGCGTTCATGGAATTCGGAAAAAAAATTTTGCAGGGCCAGGGTAAATGTTAAGGCATTCTAGAGACTTAACAGGAATTCCAAACTTCGTGGTATCCGACGTTGTCAAGTTCAAATGCGTACGGGAACTAAGGACGTGTAATGTACGCAACTAGACGACATACGCGTAAGTATATGTATGTATACATTCTAAAAGTCTCTATCACGATATTACGGATCGGATCATACGGCATACACCGTTCGTTTTCGAGGGCAAATCTAACCCTTCGATTCATCGAATGGTGCCAGGCTCGCACCGATATCGATTCTTTTTACGAAAGTCGTCGGTCGTATGACTGAAGAATAATACATAGTATACATAGATTTAGATTATATGTACATGTTGGTAGAAATAGGTGAAACTCGTCTCGATTTCGAGAAATTTCAACTTACAGAGCATGTCGCGTTCCAGAGACAGAAGATGCTAAGTAATATCGACAACGGTTAATTTAATATTTTAAGACGTTACCATATGAGCCGGGCTAGAAATATACTTTGTGGTAATTGAGCGTAAAAAATTAAAAATTTCACGATTTCGATTGACTAATGCAACCGATTACGATACGTCGTACATTGTCGCTTCGATACTCTGCTATCCGTTCTATACCGGTACAATGTTTTAAACGTGTATTCATCGAGTCGTCGAAAAGACGAGTTCAATTTCTTATTTGGCTTGTTTAGTTTTGTTCAAACTTCGAAATGACTAGTAAAGAAAGGGTTAAGGGCAATTTCAGAGGGCGCACCGTATATACGAATAAAGTTTGGATGATCGGATTTAACGGTGTACGAAACGCAACGTGTTTTGCACGTGGACGGACGCGTTGTAGCTGTAGCTGAAACGTACGATTCGATTCCGCGTGTTTGTTTACAAGTGAGGACGCAGGACATTCCTTCGTATTCGGTTTCACGTTCTAGATTCTACGGTACAATTATCGCTCTGTACAGACGTACATAATTTACACGACAAATTTCCTTTTCGAAGCAATCCACGACCCCAACGAAATTCTAAAGTAGGTTACCAATCGACCGCGTGACAAGTTAAAAAACTGAGGACCACGAAAAATGACATGCAGTCAAGACGTTCGTACAGGGAATGTAAAGAGATGAATATTATTATAATAAAGGGGGGGAAAACGTATAGGTTTTGTAAACGAATAAACAACTTACCGATTTTATTAACGTGGGCATGTCGATCTTCGATTGAATCTCACTAATTTCTTCAACTGTTCGGATCGACGTTCTCCAATTTCAATGAATTCAGCGTAATAACTTTTGTGACGCGTTAAACAAATTACGAGATCGATGTCGCGTGAATGTTGCGTTTCAACAGGATTTCTCGTGTCAACGAACGCCGAATGTTATATACGCGAATTTAATAAATTAGAGAATCAACAATTATCGTGTTACATTAAAAGTTTAGAATGTTCGATCCCACCGGATTATTAATTATTCGCCGGGGGATGATATTCGTATCGGTTCAACTTTCAGAATCGCCCATTTATATGTATAATTAATTCGTTGGTTCAATGAAAATAAAATTTATTCTGTTTGTTCAATGTTAATGTCGATGCAGCAACGATGGAGACCGATGGAGACGGAACGCCCATTCTTCAGTTCTTCTCCACGTTGCTTCATTCCACTCTGTGAACTGAATTGAAGATCTGTCTCTCCCTCTCCCTCCCTCACCAGAAGTTCCATCTTCGGTAAACGACGGCGTGGTTCGCGAATGCGCCCTTGTGAAATTTCATGTATCTGTGACAAAATACGAAATTCTATGTTATTTTACATATATATTATTACTCGTAGGCAATTTTTAATACTTTATGACTTTTAGGTTCTGTATGGTAAAATGAAAACTATTTATTTTATTACGAGTACGATTTAACACTATATCTGCAGCATTAATAAAAAAACATAATTTCATTATTTTCAGTAGTTTTCATAAATTTTCTACAGATATCTACATAATTAAACGAGATTTTCTCTAGTGGTTGATTGTCCAACTATGCACCTGAAATTTTTCTTAATATATATAAAAGTATATTATAAAAAGTATCGTATCTGTTATATTTGGGATTTACATTGAATAATAAAGGGATGCTATTCGGAGGAAGAATAAATTGTTTTTGTCAAGCAAAATTAACAATATTACATAGACAAATCTATTTATTGTATACAAAAATTTTAGCATTTTATTTATACTCTATATGCGCTGTCGACGAATCTAACATTTCAACTTCGGAACTAATATCGCTAGAATAATTTACTACTACATCTCGTGAATTGCTTTCCACCTTATCGGGAGTATTATCTTCAGCTTTACTCGAATCTTCTCCCCATCCAGAAAATAAATTCACCCTTAGTTTATCGATATCCTGATTCCCTGGCTCGGTTATATTACTTGTATTCTCCAAAGATTCTGTACCTTCTGTTTCTTGAAGTCTAGCTTCGGGAAATTTATATTTTGGAATATCGATGCGTGCATCTGCTAACGATAAGTATTATTTATTAATGAGCTCAATGATATGCAATCATTTCAAGAGATATTTTTAAAAATTTATTTCTCATACCAGGATACGGTGGTGACTCTTCTATAAGTTGTTCCATAACATAAGTCAACATAGTTGTTGTAAAAGTGTCGTCTCTTCTCAGACCAAGCGCTCTATGAAAAGCATCGACGGCTTCTTGAGTATTGCCCATTAGTGCATGAATAAAACCTACCGCTGCATACGTTGATGGATTTAAAGAATTTAATACCAATGCCTGCAATTATTAGAGAGTAGCAATTTCATTTTATATGTTATACAAATTATTAGTTCAATTTTGAATTTGTTAACCTGGTGATGATATTCTAATGCCTCTTCGTATTTCTTCATTTTTCTACAAGTGTGACCTAAGTTATTCAATAATGCTTCCCATTTACTAGGTAGTATAACGTCTTTTAGACCACCTTGAATTCGTTTCATGGCTTCTTTAAACTGCTGTTCGGCAGTTTTGTAACTATAGTTTGTGAAATTATAATTTTCGATAAATTAATGAGATTTTACACGAAATCACAAAAGGATGGAAGTACACTATCGCGTTGCATAAAGAAAACATTCCAGAAATAAAATCAAAATAAATATGGAACTGCTTACTCTAAATTATAAAAAGATATAACTCCCATCTCGTGTATAACAAACGGATCATTCGGGGCTATCCCTTGAGCCTGTTGGAAAAACTTGTCAGCCAATTTAAGATTATTCGTTAAGCCACATTCGAGTCCAATGTATAAAAGTGGCAGATGACAACCTTTCATTAATTGAGAAGCTTTAAAATAAGCGGCCATTGCTTGATCGTGTTCATTTTCTACGGCGAAAGAATGTCCATAGGCTAACCATGCAGGACCGAATAGTCTATCCAGTGCCGTAGCTTTCGCCAAGTATCTTCTCGCCGGATCACTTTTACCTATAATTAAATGTTTTTCTAAAATAAAAATCTAAAAGGTTTCGTTCGACTATCGAGGAAATCATTTAATCAAAACCTATAACGTACCTATACTGTAATAATAACATCCAACTGCAAACCATGCTAAGGCCATGTCTGGATATAAGTCAACCAACTTATGCGCCAAATAAAATAACGCTAAAAATATTGTTACATTTTATAGAAAACTGTATAGATTATAAATTATTTACTTTCTAATAAAATATAACATATTTACCATTAGTCTTTTTTAATTCTACTAAGCATGCAATATGCACAGGTAAACACGAATTGTGGTATGGATCTTTTTTTAATATCCTAAAATACAGTGACAAAAATCATAAATTTTAATGACACAACTAAATAAAATTGTATTTATGGTAGTTATTATTATGAAAAATTACCTTTCGGTAAGCGAGAAACATTTATGGTAGTCACAGTTGTAATACAATCTTTCCGCTTTCGAAACTTCCATATCCAAGTTACCTAATAATCTATCTGTAACTAAAACTCCCATTACGCTACAGGTTGCAAGCGTTTGTTTCTTATTCGGTTCCTGATATTTCTTGAGCTTACTTTCGTACAATAATCGTAAAAGCTCTGTCTCGGCTTCTGTACATTGTTCATTAAATGGAAGGGATTCCACAAGTTCTTTTTCTGATAAAATTATGTATAATGTCACAAGGGTACTCATTTTTAATTTTTATTATTTTTACGTTACATGGATGAATCTTCTTACCTTCTGAAGCTGAAAGCATTTGATTTTGAACTAATGCTTCGAATGCTTGATACGAATAAACATCGCAATGTAGAGCCTGTTTATAACAATCGGTTGCCACAGCTCTGTTATCCATAGCTTCGTACACTCGTCCTTTCACATACAATATTGAACTTTGTATCTACCATGAATTTACATTAATTAGTAAAATCATATTAAATTATTAATAATAATATTTAAAAAGTACGAATTTATTTATACTTAATCACATTTTTTGGAGCATCTTCCAGCATGTCTACACGATCGGCAAAACTGATACCAGATTGCGTTATATTTGTACATATTTCTGAATCATTTATTACTTGAAGCGCTTCATTATATTCTTTTGCTTCTAGAAGACTTCTTACTGTTAAATAGTGACACATGACATCTGTCTACAAAATAGCATCGATATAGTTTACAAAAGTATACATAAGGTGAACTTGCTAATCTACCAAAATTCATTAAATAAAATTTTACCTTTTCAAGTCCGTGACTTCTAATAAGATGAGCAGCTCTGTGATATTGTTTCATTAGGTACATACAATGTGCTAAAGTGCATATATCCTTAGGATCTTCGTTACTCAATGAAACAACCTTGTCCGCCCAAAATAATGCAGCACTGTGCAAATGCTGTAAATAAACAAATAGTCAGTTTTCTCAAGTAACTTCAAATTATTTCGAACCTGTAACGAAGCTCGAAAAATAGGTGAAACTTACTAGATCAACGTATGATTTAATTAATTTCCTACAATTATCCAAGTTAATACTTTTATTCTCTAACAAATTATGCATTTTTTCACATTCTGCGTTAGCATTAATACTTTGACGCGCCATGTTTAGTTTAAATTTTAAAGGTTAGGTTAGAACCTTTGACTACGATAAGTATTTATGAGTATGGACCTTTGACTATATAGTTATATGTAAATATTGTATGTTGTCAAAAGTTTACATCGTTAGATGAAACGATCTAAGTGATTGTAAGCGATGTTTAGAATACGTTTGTAACATCCAAGTATTCAAATGCATCGAAATCTACATTTTATTCGTAGTAAGAAAATTAATTCTAATCGACAATTGTCGACAGTATTTCAATGGGAAGTAATGGGATTGGGAAGTTTGCAACAGTTTGCAATTGATCATAAAGCGTAGTAACATTAATTTCGTGATTCTGTCAAGTTTGATAACTACGCGTAATATGAAAATTTCCGGTTAACTATTTACATGGAAATTTATATTTCTCTGGTTCGAAAAGTTTCCGTTGGTGACACTACGTGTCGTGGATCGAGAATTTTGAATCTTCTTCTTTACTGTAAGAATCACGAACGGGGGTAGCCGTAGCAGTGGTGGAAGATGGCAAGAAACGAACGAATCGCGTGCTAATGCAAACGAAGCTAATCGAGTATTATTCGCGACGACCGTGCAGTCTCGGCATAGTCAACGTCCTCGAGGTTTCGGTGACGATATACTGTTTTGTTTGACGATGATGTGAGAAAGCAAAGCAAAGTTCGAAGGGGGGTAAGAGTTCGGCGAACGGAACGGCCGAAAACTCTTTCAGGCGATGTCAAACATGCGGCGACGAATTTCGCAGAAAAGTTTACCAAACCGACGGCGTGTTTTGGCCAAGATTTGTCAGTGAAACCAGTGCCAATGAGTGTGAATATATGGCGGCGCGAGTACTTTTACTAAGCATCTTGTTTACAGAAGTGCTAAAACCCGCTTGTGCCGCAGGTGCGTCTCCCTCCTTTCCTATCTAATCTGTTTATATTCGCTAACCGATACACGCTGGAACTGGACCACGCGTTAACGTTCTTTACTCTTCCCTACTTTTATTGCTGGTTATCACTTCAATTTCCTTTTTTCCTTTCCTAAGTCGTACATTATTAAGCAAACATAAGTATTTAGATTCGATTGTTTATATTAGATTGGCACGCATAAAATGTTTTTTCTACGACAACGTATCGATACTTTAAAGCTTGATGTATGCATTTAATCAAAATATTAGCTGATCGTTTTCGATTAAACTGAAAAGGCTTATACTGTGTTTTGAAAATATTTTTTACAGTTTTCTTCGATCACTCGATAGTTTTCTTATTTCGAATTAACGAAAAACAAAATCTACAAAGTTCAAAGCCAGTACGGCCGACTTTTGAATTTTTCAATTAATATTTGTTTTTACTGATGTGACTGTTCAACTGATGCATTTCAGGTGTCAAAGAAATCGGAGCCAGTTTACACAATAAAAACATATCGAAACCGGAAAGCTTCAACAATAGTCCAACCAAAGGTTCCGGTGTAACATTGGAAATTCAACCTAGCGGTCATGTGATATTAGGGAAAAAAGGAATTACACTTAGTTGTATAACCGGATCAAATCAAAATATCTCTTGGTTACACAATGGAGTACCAGCACCACCATGTGGTATCACGCGTTGTACTCTTTTACGAAATGGCTCTCTTAACTTACACAAGGTAAGGTTGTCATTTGAACTATCATTTAATTAATGCTCAGAAATATATATTAAGTATCATTTATTGTTCTGTTTTATTTATCACAGATGGTGCAGAAGTTTAAAGAAAAAAACAATATTACAGTTAATTTTAGGAATTACAATAAAGACGAGTATCGTTGTGTAACACATACTAATTTAGGACTTCTACGATCGTCTCCTACCTTTATACAAATAGCAGGTAAGTATCTTATTAGTTGTTTTATCATTTTACCAAACCGTTCAATTTCTCGTCTGTTATTAAAACTTAAAATTATATTTGTACATTGTAGAACTTGCCCATATATTTAAACAATCGCTTGAAAATATAACTGTACAAGAGGGCGAAGTTGCAAGATTATCTTGCTTGATAGATAGTGTTCCTTTTCCTCCTAATATCACATGGCAGCACAATGGAAAAACATTGTTGCCCAACCAGAATAATTCAAAGTAAGAAAATCTTGTAAAATAATGACTAATGTTTATCATATGTTACAATTATTGTAATTAACATTGGCTTTGTAATAGTAGGTATTTTATGGTACCACCAGGTGTTCTGTATATAAAAGCAACAGAGTTATCGGATGCTGGTTCGTATAGGTATGTACTATGTATGTACGCATCTAGCGTACAAAAGTCGACATAAAGTTAAATCTATATTTGTTTTAATAGATGCATAGTAAATAATGAATTCCTAAAGAAAACCAAAAAAAGTAAAGAGGCAAAATTAATTATTACCTCTCAACTAGAGCGTAATGGTTCGCATACTTCGCCATCGTTATTTCCACAAGTTTCATACAATCATTGGTTGCTAAATGGAACAAATCTTAATTTAGCATGTGCCGCATCTGGATATCCATCTCCACTTATGACGTGGACATTTATTCCTCGCTATACTGGTAATTTACATTTGTCGATGTTTTATTTGGATATTCGTGGAGTGAATATAAATTTAATATTTTATGGTTTGTTGATCCTTAGATAATCATAATGTTGCACAACCTCGCATTTTGCTTAATTCTAGTATTGGCATTAGTATATTGTCATTGGTAAATGTGAGTGTATCTGACGCGGGAATTTATTTATGTTCTACGAAAAATTTCGGTACAAATAATTTGGAAATTCAGGTTTGTTATCATAGCGTATTTTTCAAGTGTGATCAATTGTTACAAACTCTAATGATATCCTACAAAAATTATTTCAGAATATAACGGTGGATGTTTTAGTACCACCTTCTTTTTTGAAGACACCTATAAATCAAGTATGCCCAAATGGGAGAACTGCAAGATTTGAGTGTCAAGCACAGGGATTACCTATGCCTAAAATATATTGGTTAAAGGACTCATTAAATATTACAATTAACGGTAATATTACACGCACGAATACTTACAATAAATCTTTGTACTTATTATAATACGTAATATACAAATTTTCCGTATCGATTATTTGCAGGACGTAGGACTACGTACGTAAAGGAATATAATAAAATGGAGCTGGCAATATCGGCAACGGTTCCTTCAGATTCTGGTATTTATCAATGTGTTGCTGTGAATACAGCTGGAGAAATTTGGGCCGCAGGTCGGCTTCAAGTAAACACATCTCGTAATAGTCCTGCTACACCTACCTCTCTAAACTGTCATGCTCTATCACCAGTTAAAATTTTTATTTCCTGGGAGCCACCAAAGTCTCTACCAGTTACCAGTATTACAGCTTATACCGTCCATTATAGTCCCGTAGGTAAGGGACTTAATAGAGAATTCTACATTGATAAGAACATCGATAAAATTAGTCGATTAATGATTAGTAGATTAATTAATCTTTCCATATGTGTTTTACATATAGAAGGAGGCAAGGAAGAAGTTTCTCCACCAGAACCAGGTAATTCTACGTCTGTAGAAGTAACGAAGCTTCTCGAGCCATTTACAAATTATTCCTTCTACATACGAGTGTGGAACAATCATGGTGCTAGTGACCAATCAGCCACCATTTTGTGTTCTACAGCTCCAAGTGGTATGTTATTTGTTATTTGTTCTTTTATTATGGACAGAACAAACAACATTTAGAAAATACCGTTTTCTTTTTCTATTTTCTATTCAGTTCCTAAAGGTGTACCAAAAGTAAACGTGAATATAATTAGCAGTACAAAATTAAATGTATCATGGGAACCGCTAACTAAATCCGAGTCCCGTGGTATCGTGGTACAATATAAGTTACAGTGTCGACGACACGAACATCCATTTTCTCGTGTTCTTCATTTGCCTGCTAGCGTGGAATCCTATGTTCTATCTGGTATGCATTTACTATCTTAATTATGGTAATATTGATCAAATTTGATTTTACAGTATTACAACTTCTATACCAATCGATATTTATACAGATCTAATACCTGGAGCACAGTATGATCTACGAGTACTAGCTAGGACAAATCAAGGTTGGCCTAATATGAGCGAAACACAATTAGAATGGACCACTGTAACTATGCCATCTGCTGAATCGATTGTTATCAAAAATATTGTGGATATACAAATATTAATCGTAAATTCTTCGGTTGCGAAGGTAGTGAAAAAAAAACATTAAAAAAATTGTACGTTATTTCTTTTAATTAACATCGATCAAATTACATTACTTTAGGCGAAATGGAGTATAAATCTGAAAGAAAAAGATAAAATTGAATCAGAATTTGACTCTTGGCAAATCTATTGTGAAAATCAAAATGGACACAAATTAGTAACTATTTTTTTACCACAGAACGTTACTGAATATGTATTTACTAATCTTGGTATGTATTAAATATACTTACATGGGTACCGTGTTGTACATATATAAAAAATAATTTGTACATTTTTTGTTCAGATATAAACGTTTCTTATACAGTGGGCTTATGCATGATAAGCTCTGGCGAGGTGACAGGTTGTCTAACAAAACAAATAGAAACTATTCAACCTGATGCACGTAAGTTCGTTATAAATATAAGTAATGAGTATATATATATATATATATATATATATATACATATTATAAATAACTTTTTTACTTATAAATCAGATAACATACCAATAGCTCTGGAAGCTATTCCTGTTTCACCTAATTCTATAAACGTCACATGGTCGTTGAGTGACATGCATGAAGTGGATGGTTTTGAATTATGTTATCATGCAATTCATACAACAAATTTAGATGGTCCTAAATGTTTTATATTGTACGTATTAAGGTTAATTTTATTTTTAATTGGAATGTTCCGGTGTGGTAGAGAACATTATTGAAATCTATATATATAACTATTTTTTTTAACAGAAACGATACCAAGACCAGCGTCGATAAACTCAAACCGTTTACATTGTATCAATTTAAAGTCAGAGCTATTCGAAATAATACAAGCCAAAGCAGTTTTTACAGCGAATCTATAGAATGTT